TGATATATAAAAGTAGATTCATGGGACTGTTTTTTTTTTTATTTCTATTGATCCATAGATGTTTCGAGGTAAATTAACTTGAGATGAGACACAAATCTAAAATTAGAAATGTATATTTTTTCTCTCCTTTCTTTGTACAACAATGCTGGGGGTGCAGCAAGTTCAGGTTGGCTGGCTAATTAGCGTTGATGTCGGCTTTGGTAGCGCCCTGCCTCAGGCTGTTTATTTTACCGAGAGACACCATAACTCTTGCAACATCCACTTTTTCTTTTTATTGCCATCTTTTCCGTACTTCTTGGGTGACTCAGTGTGGTTCTTGTTGTTTCACAAGGCAAAAAGTTTGAGGAATTTTCTCTTCTTTTGGCCATACAAGGTAGGAAAGCAGGAATGCTCCTGGGCCTTTTATTAGTTTCTCTTTAAAGGAACTTTAAACAGCAGGAATAGTTTCACAAGCAATTCGAATGGACCTATTAACATAAAGATGGATGATTAACCAGAAACCAATCCAAGCGTACTCCAAACGCTTTTAAATATATCTTTGCAGCATAAACCACACATAAGATACATAAACTGAGTTTCCCTTCATCACTTCATGACTGTACGTCTCTGTAAAAGTGATTTAACCCGAGATATTCGAGGCGTATCATAACGAAATACGGACAGCAGTGGGATGCTGCCGCCGTACCTGGGACTAATTAGATGTTCCTCTCCCTACGACCCAATAATACAGAATATTTTATTCAAAATCCATATTCACACAACACCAGCCGAAATGAAAGCGGTGTCACAGGAATCACCTGTCACCTAAAGAGCGCAGTAAGGCGGCAATAAAAACCCGGATCCCGGCTGTTGAAGTCGGCTGCAGACTGCATGAGAATTTGAATATGGAAATCCAGGCGAGTGCAGCTCGTGATGCGGAGATAATTTAGTCGGAGAGCAACCGCAGTCGTGTTGTGTCTGCGGATAAAAGTCGTCTCCGATCAAAGAAGCAGGCAAACTGTGGGGAAATAAAGGGAAGAAAAAGGGGCAATCAATCACAGTGCGGTGTTCCTGTTCAACATCATATTTTACGCTTCGTTGCATCACCTTGCTGTCGACGCTGAAGAGAAGGGCAGGTGTAGTTTTTTCGGTCGTCTATCCTGATGGTTTGAATGTGGAATCAGTGGCGCTACAGTTTACTAAAGCAGTTCAGAGTTGACAGGTAGTTTCCTTTTCCTGTTACAGTGAAATGAAGAGGTTATGGTCTGGTACTTTCCTTTTTCTTTTTCTTTTCCACTCTTTGTTTCCTTAATATCTTGTTCCACTGCGTCAAAACAATAGAAGTTGATTGTTTAGAGTATTACTTTGTGTTTCTTCCATTTTTTTTAGGCATTTAACGGATAATCCTGGCAACAGCAAAGTTTCTAGCGGCCTGATTTATTTCTGTAATGGTGGCTAAGAGAGGAAACTAAATCTGGGTGGCGACTGAAACCATTTTCAGGTGTTCAGCCGGTCAAAAAAACTTTAAAAAAATCCTTTTTTCTGATTGTTGAATGAAAAATATTTAAGCGAGGTCAAACTAACAATAACCCTACGTGTGGAGACAATTACTCAGTGAGGTGTACTAAAAGTTAGTGACTTTCAGCTCCTGTGTGGAACTGAAAAATGACATTGCTGGCAGCAGAGAAAGGCTTAAAGGGAAGAATCCACTTAAAAAAACTACTTTCAGACATGATGGGATATTTCTGCAGTTCAGTTCAGCAGAGAGCTAGACTTTAAAATGGTAACAGGAAGGCTGATTGCAGTACAACACAGCTAATGTATCATTTAAGTTTATTTTGAGTTTGGAAAAGTTGGCAGCTTTTTGTAAATCTGAGCTAAATTACGGCTACAGAATCCTCACATGCTACAGTTTAAGGGACGCCACATACCCCGATCAAGCTAATTGCTAGCTTGATCGGGGCTACCTGTATCATGTTTTCGAGCACAACATGCAAAACTGTTCAAAAATACCATCCACTGAATCATTTCATTTTTGGTTTACATTAATATAATAACACAGGCTACAGTTTTAGGGATGCTAGCTGCCCCAATCAAGCTAACTGCTAGCATAACACGATAAACTGTTCAAAATATCAAGCACTAAATCATTTTATCTGATTCACAATCAAATAATAATCCTGTTAGCAGTGACATCTCTTATACACTGTGGGATGTTACGTTTGCTCTTTATGTGAATAAATAAGTGCTGAGTAAGAAGGCTGGAACGCTAAAGTCGGCAGATGAAAGACTCATCAAATCAGAGGTTAAAACCTGGTCACTAATCTCTAATCTCTGATAATAACATCAGACTCCACACCACGTCGTGTTGCAAATCGAGCTAATGTTCTGCAGGGAACAGAGTCCTTTAGCGAGCGATGACAGCTTTTATTTCCATTCTGCCTTTAATGCGGGGGCAGAAAAAAAACAAAAAAGCCACAGCTCCATTTAACAACTGGATCACTTGTGGGCAAAAAGCTTTTTTATTGCGAATGTTTGGCTTTTCAACATGTTTCCTAATGCTTCAGACCACATTAGCTCCACTCAGCTGTGAATGTGTGCATGTTTGTCTTCTTAAGAGGATTGATGTGTGCTGTGAAAGGAGAAGCCGGGCTGGTGGGACATCTGGCTAACTGAACTAAGCTGCCATATCACTGCCCATTAGGAATCATTAAGGCCCCGATTACAGTAACCGCAGCCAGAAAAATCGAGGGTCTGTCAGGTTATGGCTTTTTTTTTGGTCAATATTTCAAATATAGTTCATTTAAATGATCATTTGTTGTTCGACAATAAGGTAGTGCCTTTGTATGGAAATACATTTGAGCCAAGAGTACTCGGCTCTCGTGAGTCACGTTTTGTGACTTCCATTGAATTTAAAGGAAGTTGAAGACCGTTGGACTTAAAAATATTATTTTGTGATCCAACTTTACATATTGTATTTGAGGGAAGCATTTTTTGTTTGTTTGTCATTTAGTTCGGCAGTGGGTGAAAAAGTGGTAAACTTTTTCTCATCTGCCTTCTGCATGCTCCTCCTTGATTTAAAAATGCAATCTTTGAATATATCTTCGCATCTTCTTTGCTCAGATCGATTCAACATTCACAAGTCAAACAAACAGTTTGCGGCATTTATATTTATTTATTTATTTATTTGTCTATCTATTTACATATACAAGCTTGGTAATTTTCCCTTTTGCCTTTTTGTTCTCTCGCAGTTTCGATTTTTTTTTTCAACTTTTTCAGTCGCTCACCTTTTTGTTCTGACCATGCATCAATTCGTGGCTCCGAAGGACATTTTGTTCCCGCTTTAACAACCGACTATTTAAAGTAATTTTCGACACTCTGCTACTAATTGCCTGCCGTTAGAAAATAAGGCTTTTCGACTCATTTAGATTCATTTTGGTTTCGTGGGAGTTTAAGTGGCCAAAAAAAAGGAGTTAGAAGTCTAAATTAATAGACAAACAGTGTTATACAAGATTTTTTTTGAATAATAGTAATATACCGGAAAATGAAATAGTTTGAATTTAATTATATGCAGGTTTTAAGCCATTTTTGGGACATTTGCATAGATGCAGTGAAAAGATGAATGTATGCACATGGTTTAAGTAATTGTTTGAAAAATAGTTTGTTTACAGGACAGAAACACAAGTGAGCAAGGGGAAAATTACTGCATATGAAATGGAGTCTGATCCACTAAAGGGGTGAATTAGCCTCAAAATATTAGCACTTTTACACGACTGATGGCCTAGAAATTTTAAAATAAATACATCCTATTGCATTAGACTGGGAAAGAAATAGGTTTCACTCTGAAATCTTAATGAGACAGCAGTCAAAAGTGACATTTACCACTTTTGTCCAGGCCTGTTTTATTATTATGTTTTCTATTATTTTAATAATTGTGTGGAGACAGATTTCAAAAACAATTTTCCTTCAGTAGATTTTTTGTCTATTATGACTTTTGTCAATTTAAAATGATTTAATTTTGTCCAAATGTGTTTCAGTGTCCTTTTCGATAAATCACAGTCCAGTTAGTTGAAGCCAAAAGAAATTGTACCAATATTTTTGACCTTCCTGAAAGCTATTAAATTATGTTTAGAATTATTATATTTAATATCACAATTGTTTTTTGGGTTGTTGGTTTTTTAATCACAGGAGTGAAACTGAATTATATTTCTTCTCCTCACTTTTTGTTTGCGTTATTAGTTTCTGAGTTGGAGTTCAGATTAACTGCTACCTCATCTGACCCAACACTTTGCACAACGCAGGAGAAAATGCTGCACACAGAGATGCATCATCAGGTCCCATCTGAAGACAGCCTGCTCCTTCATGCCACACACACACACACATGCAAAGACACACAAACACACACACACACACACAGCTGGAAGGCTTTCTATCATGGTGAGATAACTACAGGCTGAGAACAATAGACCATCTCTTCTCCCATCTGGTGAACCGGAGGATGAAACTTCATTTACATTTCAGCCCCCCACCTCACACACACACACACACGCACACACACTCCCTCCACTACCAGCTCACTCCTCTGCATGCGTGTGTGCTTGTGCATGGATGGGCGGAGGTGTGGTAATAAAGGGAACAAAACGAGATTCATTTCAGGGTGAATTTGGGATTATGAATTAACATGCTGCAGTGCTGAAAGACTTCATTTACAGCTAATTGAGTGTGTTGGCTCATTAAAATGGCTGTTGTGTAAAACTGCTCTGCTTGGCCGCCCCTGGGCTGGGTAGCAATGTGTGTGTGTGTGTGTGTGTGTGTGTGTGTGTGGGGGGGGTGCGTGTGTGTGTGTGTGTGTGTGTGTGTGTGCGTGTTTTGGGGTGTGTGTGTGTGTTTGGAGAAAAACCTAGGGGTGGTAACCTGCATATTAGTGAACAGCTGTAGTTTAGACGTGTGTGAAATTAGATGTAGAAATTGTAATAAAATGTGACACCTTCTGCTCTTTTTCTCCCTTTCCTCGCTGTCAGGTGAGAAGCCCTATAAGTGCTCATGGGAGGGCTGCGAGTGGCGCTTTGCCCGCAGCGACGAGCTGACGCGACACTACCGCAAACACACCGGAGCGAAGCCATTCAAGTGCAACCACTGCGACAGGTAAACACTCACTTCCTTTCATTCACACAGATTACCACCAAGCAGCACAGCGCCGTTTGCATTTGTAGGATGTCTTAAGGTAACAAGGATCAATGTTTGTCCTACTACCAGAGGCACAGTGGGCCAATTTGAGACCCTTCTCCGTCCTCCCGACGGCGCTTGTATCCATTTTACACTTTGTCACTTTAGAAACTGACACTTTAATGTGTTTATGTGGGATTTTTTTGTGAAGGGCAACACAAGTAGAATTTGATTGGGAAGTGGAAGGAGCTCCTTTTCCTCTGCTTTAATCGAACTCCGGTGCGGTTCGACTGCATATGTGAATGCCAAGCAGGACGTATGCTATAGCGCAGGGCATTCTGGGTAAATACAACCAAATCGAAGGTGAGAGTGTAACGCTAGCGGGAGAGGTGGCTCATGGCATTTTACCAAAGACGAAAGAGAAATCCTACAACTGCTAAAACCTGACACTACTCTGTTTTTGTTGACGTTTCTGTCAGAAGGAAGCGTCTTCTTCTAAAGACCTCCCCACCAGGTCAGGTCTATATGTTGGCAGTTAACAATAGTCATCTCACTGTTGGCAACTCATCAACTTTCTTGCTGCGTTTAGTTTTAGAAAAAAAAAAAAAAAGGTTTCAGCCAAAATCAGAATCGGCAGGTCAGGATTTTTTATAGATCAGTAATTGGCCGGAAAACTAGAATCGGTGCACCCTTAATCACAATGAACTATAAGAGTTAAACTGGTTATTAAAAATTAAAAAGCAGATTCCTCAGTTATAGAACTACCAAGAGATCCCCTAAGTTATCTACCTCAGCTGACAGACTGAGCAAAGAAATCACAACTCAGACAAGCAGCCGGGGGCTAAGATGGTCAGCCGCACAGCTCAGGTGGGAGAACGTTTCCAAAAGGACAAACATTATTTACAGACTCCATAAATCTGGACAACCTAACTTGCTGGTGTAAAGTCTATATTTTTTAGAGAACTAACACTGTACATCACCCTTTGCACACAACTCCCATTGTGAGACACAGCGGTGCCGCATCATGCTGTGGGAATGACAACAACCTTAAAGATGCAGCTAGAGCTACACTGAAAACTAATTTCTGTGTTAGAATGCTGCAGACCTGACCTCAACTCCTTGTTTTTCACCAAGGCTCTCGAACCGATCTGACCAAAACATATCAAATTTCAGTCTTTACTTAATTACCAAGATTTTATTTCGACTCAAAATCAACTTTTAAACCGTTTCTAAGTTCTGCTTTCTGCCAACTACAGTTATGTTTGGTTTGTGTTGGGGAAAATGACACCGCCTGTCTGCGTTTTCAGAAGGAGCATCATCCGCTTTCTCCCGTTTTGCAGCAACAATTAAACAGCCGCATCACTTAACCCGCAGCAAAACATGTGCAAGCTGACATTTGAAGTAGCTCAACTGAGCCTCCAAATTAAGTTTCTCATTTTATTTCGCTTCTGTTTGTTATAGTGGAAGAATGATGGGAACAGTTTGCTGTCATATCGCTGTACGACAGCCTTTCTCTCTGTAGAAGCTGCCTGTGAACATTGTTTTTTAATGCATTCAAAGCAGCAGGGAACCAGACAGCTTCTTTGACAAATGATAAATAAAAGAACATTTTTCATCCAGCCTCAATCTACAGGCATCACATGTGGCGCTCGGGGATTGTAATGATCCATAACAAATTTCTACTTTGCCTTTTTTTTTCTTTCTTTTTTTTAACGCACAAGACAGATCAAGTTTTTATTTATTTTTTCTTTAAATCATAAACAAAATATTGCAAATCAGTTGTTTCGAATTGCGAGCGTTTTCTTAAGAGAGGCTGCGCGCCTTTCGCAGCGCGGAGGGGAGATTTTTATCGTGAAGAGTGATAAATAGTCCACACTACAGCTCATGGTGTAGTCAATTTAATGATAAGGAATGCTATTACTCTAAATGAAGTTAGTTCTTAGCAGATTTATATTGCGAAAGGGAGAGAGAGAAAGTCGTGGGTGTGAGGCAGGTCTGCGCACGGAAATCGACTACAGATGTATTGACTTTCAAGACTGTGCTTTCCCAATCGATCCTGAATCAATTTGTTTGTTGCACTGACTGGCGTCCGGTCCAATTCGAAGGAAAACAAAGCCCAAGCTGCTCTCTTTTCTTCTTGTTTTCTTGAACCAAAGACAGACTGAAAGATTGCTACGCCAAAGCCGTGTTTGTGAGTCACATTGTCACTGTTTTAGCTTTTGCTCCTCAAGGTTGGAGGTGTGTGCGTGCGCGTGCGCCTGTGTCCATGTGTGGTTACTCATGCCCTTGTTAAATGGATTCAGGCTATTGGCAAGCAGGTCGCAGCTAATTGAGTGGCACCAGATGCCAGCTCCACTTGAACATGCACTCCCACTCCGCGCGTGTGTATGCGTGTGTGTGCCTGCGCTGCCTCCCAATTTATTTCACACACACCAACTTTCACCCGAGAGAGAGTGTAATTGGCTGTTGTGGGCTCCCTCTAGTTTTGGTTTTAACACGTAAACCCCCAAAGAAACCTGCTGGAAGCGTCTAATCCAGGCTGGGAGCTGGGGCTGCGTTAGATCCTATTTGGGAAGAAGAAAAAGGAAAAAAAAGAAAAAAGAAATGCAAAGTCATTTTGCGTTGCATGACTTAATATATACACACAGTTTTATGGTAAAAACGGCTTGTTCGATGCCATAGATTTTGGCTTTAATCAATACTTCAAATACGCATTTAAGTCGTTCAACTTCAAAACGTAAACGTTCTGAAAATGTTGGGCTTCCACTGTTCTCTGAACTAAAACATCCCAGCATTTCCACTGGGAGATGAATTCACCTGCATGCAGAGTGAGCCTGATCAGGTCATGGGGTCATCGGGTTCCTCTGGAAGCCCGAACATCCGTCCTTTCAGAGAAACATACTCAGGAGGGATCTTTGTCAAATTCTCCGACCACCTCGGCTGATTCCATTCGATGTGGATGAGAAGAGACGGATTAGCACAGATTACAGCCGACTTTTTTCCCTCAAACTTCGGAGAAGTTTTCATTTTTGCTTTGTGACGTAAATTCATCTCCTTAGATATTCAATGAAGTCTATTTTACACATTATCAAAGTCTACTTGTGAAGCTTTCTGGTGTAATTGTCTCGTGTCTTCATAATAATATCACATAGGCAGCCTCAAAAGTTGTTTTTTTTCTTGCGCTTAAATTTTGAAAAATACATAAAAAATGCTTAATGGAGTCGAGAGTTTCGCATAATCCACAGAAATGCTAAAGTACATCTGCGGTGGGAGGAGTCCAGCAAATATTACCATGAGAATAGCAAAAAGTGGCAGCCAGAGAAGTTAATATTTGATAAAACGTTCAGTCTGACAGTATTTCCCCAGAGGACACACACAGACACACACACACACAAGTATGCTATTAATTCTGACTAATCAAGCAAAGACCCCCTGATGTTTCTGTGGAGCAGCAAGGAGGAGTGATGGGGCGGGGGGGAACAGAAAAACAAAAAAGAAGGAAAAAAAAGAGTCAAGATGAAGAAAGGAAGCTAAGAAGGAAGTCTGTGTGTGTGTTTCAGGAGATTGAGAGTGGGAGGTTACCAGCTGGAGTAGCCGCTACGCCCCCACCCCTTTCCAACAGTGACACAGTAACTGGCATGGCCATCTGTCCAGCCGCACACACACACACACACACACACACACACACACACACACACACACACACACACATGCAGAGAGATCAGTGAAGGTGTTACAGTAGGTACCACATGGCCGGCTGGGAGCTAAAAGGAAACTGTAGACCCTGAGACAACAGAGAGCAGAGTTCAGCTGTAAAAGCACTCATTGTTTACAGTAAGGACTCAACGCGTCCAACGCGTTCTGTCTACACCATGTGGTTTCAGCTGATCCCCAGAACCTGCTGCCACTGTTAAAACAACAAAAACAGTAAAAATAAAAAAGACCAGAGAGAACAAAAGATGTTTGCCCTTGTTGTGCTGGTATACTCGCTTGGCAAAAAAAAAAAGATTTCTACTTTTTTGTTTTTGGCATCTTCAAACTTGCATCGTTGCTGCGATCCAGTCGGCGGCGACTAATCGGCGTTCTGGCACTATCTCAGGTTGCCGGGAATCTGGAAATTGTATGCTGTCGCGACACGCATTCAAAGGCTGTTATTGTTGTTTTGGTTGCCTAAAAGGATTGGACATAATGTTGCTTTGTTTTAATTGTTTCGATGTTTGTGACAGTGCCAAATGGTCATCTAGTAGGCTTTAAAAAGAAAAAGCATGCATGGATTACATCCACAATGGGCCCCTGGATTCCCCGCAGAAAACCTGCTAAGTCCGGTGGTTGGGTGCCAGGGCACTCGTTTGTCCAGCGGCCCATCGTGTTTTTGAGTTAAAAAATGTTTAAAGTTGACAGAAAATTTGAAAATATCACTTGATAGCTATGTGTTATTGAAAGACTGGAAGATTAATACCTGAACATCAACTATATAATCTAAAAAATGCTAACATTTTGAAAAGACTTCAATAAATAAGCAATGCTTAGTCTGATGGGGGCTCAAGTAGAGCCCGGTAACCCGCCAGGCTTAAAATACTCAGGGGGAAACCCTGGTTTTAGGGAACACAGCCAATGTGAGACCCCTTCTAAAATGCTTATAGCTGCTGACATTAATAGCCAAGTCACCTTAATATGCATTAATATTCACAGTGGAATCTGACTTACCTCTACCTCATAACCCAACATCCCTGGTTTTCTACTGGTCTAAGCTAAATCACAGAGCAGGGTCAGCAGATGCTGAGCTGTGTGATAAGCAGATGTTGTGAACTTTCTGCAGATGCATTAGCAACAGTATGTACCTCCAGACTTTATGTGAGCAGAAGTTTGAATTTATAACCGCTTGCTAAGAGTTTCCTGGACTTACCTTTGGGAAAATAGATGCGTCCAATTGTTGGATGCGATGTGTAAAGCATGTCACCACTGGACTCCATGTGGATCTCTGGAGCAATGAGTTATGCGTCTTTGTCTGCCAATTCAGTGGATGAGTCTGGGTTTGGCAGTTAGAACGGCACATTTCAAGCATAAGGTTTTGACTATTGTTTAAGAAGAAACACTTAGTTCTGCAACATCCCGAGGGATTTTGGATGACCTATCGTAACTTTTGAGGGAACAGTTTGGATGTGCACAGTCATGTTGATCCAACATGACTTGACTGCGCCAGGTGCAGAAAAACACGAATGAGTTTGGTGTGGATCTCAACCTGACAAAACACTTTAGCGATGAATCAGAGGAGAGACTGCGATGGAGATCTCTTGGTCCACAGACGAGGACGAGCCTCCGTGGCTAATGCTAGCACATTTTGCAATGTGCATTGTCCCTTTAAACAGCCTCTCACCTGCACTTCTGGGAGAACGTCTTCCCATCTAAACCTGTGCAAAGTCTTCGCTGAAGAGCTGAAGCTGCTGCGGTTGCAATAGGTATGCTAACATCACGTTATATTGACCGGATGAAGGATGGGATGCAACTCCAGTTAACATGTTAGACAATAGCACCTTTTAGAAATGTAATACATCCTCACAATTAAGCTAAATTAAATAAAAAGCCAAGTCTCTGATAGATTCTTTGCTGACATCAGCTTTAGTTCAAGTTTGGCAACTCGACACTCACCGAACAAGACAAACTTTTGTTCTGTTTTATGTTTAGCAGTTGACTGGGTGTTGATTTTTTTATTTTTGATTTTTATTGAAAGTGTCTTGTTGGTGTTTTTGATTGCGATTCCACTGTAAGCAAACCTTTAGTTGCATCAAAACACAAGTTTTGCTCTCGTTAAAGTTCCCCAGCTTGCTCGTAGGGTGAGAACTGACACCCTGTGGTTCCGGGGTTTTAATTGAGGTTGCTCCCAGAATCCGAAGGCTAAAATGCCTCGGCGCTATTAATTTTCCTTTTGAGTATTTATCTGTGTCTCCCCTCATATCTGGATGGAACAACAAGCAAAGAGCGCAAAAAAAGACAAAGAGCGCAGGATCGACTAATTAATAATGAATTTAGCCTCTGGCAAATTGAATTTGTAATTTCTCACCCGTTCCTCTTCTCCCTCAGTGAAATCGCTCGTCTTGAATATTATAGATGGTGTTCAGCTTTTAATATTCCCACAACCCATGAAGCGCTGCGCTGTAAAACCGAAGTGCTTGTGAATTTATTTTATTTGTTTATTAATTTTTTTTTATTTTTTCAAATAAAATCGCCAAAACCTGGTTTTATGTCATCAGCTGCAGCGTGGTAAGTGGTCCAGACCCGCCAGGCCGCCGTGTTCCCTCTGCATATCTGATTAGTCCCTGCAGTTGCGTTTCCCTCTGGGCTGGAGGGTCTGGCTGCGATTGGCGGCCATGACGGAGGCATGTTTATTGAAACCGGTGAAGCCGAATTGGACTTTCACTCATCGCTGGACGTCTACGCACAACGAAGCGGGTCGGCTTCGATGCGGCCGCTTTGAAATGACTGGACCGTCGTCTCTGCGCTTGTTTGTGTCGCAGATTCGGCTGTTTTCACTCCGGCTGCCGGCCCGGTTTTAGCTCCAGATGCATTTGTCATCTTCGTTTCAATAAGAATCGTCCTCGACTGGCTCTGGAGTTGGAATGGAGTGCAGCATTCTTGCTTTTTGACCATCAGTCATGCTGTCTGGAAGTGCGGAGCTTTTATTTTTAGACCGTTTGATCAGTTTCATTGACATCAGCAGGCCTTCTGAAAGTCTTGATGAAAGCTAATTAGTTTGTTTGATGGTTGTTTTTACTCCAAAGGCTCTCTGGCACATTATGAGGGAGCAATGTGCTATTTCTTTTTTTAAATTTATCAACTAATCAATCAACACATTACTAAGTACAACACAAATACCACTGAACAAAGTCATCTGTCTTTCGCATTTAAGACGGATATAAAGGATGAATTGGCAGAATGAATGTTTTGCTTGAGTAAAGGACGACTTCGTCTCATGGCTAAATACAGTTGAGCTCAAAATTATTCATACCGTTGGCAGAGTTGGATTTAAAATCAACTCTGTGTCTGCAGATATAACCAAAATGTTTTCCAAAGTGCATATTGCTGCATAGGCCTGTCGCCATGAGCAATGAATCAATTAATCACGTGATAAATTAAAACAGGCTCAATAATATCCATTTGCATGTCTTTCTACCAAAAGCTGGATGGCCAAAGTCTTCAGTCTGCTGCTTTCATCTCAACTAGCCTGTTTTTGAAGGCAAAGTTGTCCTTCGTGATCATTTTATTTTTCGTTTGTTGGTTTTCCAGGTCCAGTGTTAAAATGTTCATTTAGAATTTATTTAGATCCTTCAGATCAAAGCAACAATATTATCGTTTATCGCAATAACCTCTGGGACAGTTTGTTGTCCAGTAAAATGTTATTGCAATAGATCTGTTGATGCATATTAACTTGTTCAGGCTATTAAAATATGCAGTTAAACATGCGTTTAGATGGCGTCGCATGTATTCACTGACTTTAGCGATACACGGGTAGCTGTGGCTCCTCCTGGCCCCCGCAGATACAACTGAATCTTGTGTGATATTGAGAACACAACAAGATGTTGGGGATTTATTATAATGATACAACTTTCTTCATCCAAATTATCTGAAGACGACATTGTCAAAGAAGTTGTAGACAGCTCGCATAGTTTCTAGACTGGCTGGATTCTGGTGACTAAAATGGGAGTAAGAAGAGGATCTGTGATCAGGCCAGGAGACGCCCACCATCTCAACAACGTGAGAGCATTTTTCACAAATCCAGGGATCAGATATGGGTGTTGTGCGGGCTGGAAGCCGGTGCTGCTTCCAGCACTTTACAAGCTTCCAGTGGGAAGTTGATGAAACCTTGGATTATGGAAATGTCTCTGAACGTACGCAGAGCCTGTGGACGTCCAAGGGGTCTGGCATGTGGCGCATTTAGGGCCAACAAATCCAGATTTTGGCATTGATCTTTCAGACCTTAAATGCTGGTCGTTGATTCAAATCAGTGTCGTAATTGTTGCTGCATTCTTTTTCTCTTTTTCTTCTGCTGCACCCCAAACGTCCCGAATTTGCCGTCTCACACCGTTTCTCCGCTTCGCTCCGCAGGTGCTTCTCACGATCAGACCACCTGGCCCTGCACATGAAGAGGCACATCTGAGGGCCGGAAAGGAGAGGAGTGGACGAGGAAGACGACTGGTGGAGGACGAGGAGGAGTAGTGGCAGGAGAGAGGGATGGCCGGAGAAGCTACGAACCGTTAAAGAGCAAAAACCCTCAACGGTCACTTCGAGGATCTCCATCGGAGAAGAGGAGAAAAGGAGGAGACGAGGAGTAGCTAGATTGTTGTTTTTCTTTAATATTACACATTCACACTTCGCAGTAGTACACACTTCGCACATCCGTCTTCTAGTGCATCACCCCGGTGAACCCTGGCTGCTCTCGCGCAGCTCGCGGGTCTTGGACACTGCCAAACCGTGCTTGAGTCGCTAGACAAAACACTCTGCCGCCTTACTTTCTTTCTATGTATTCAACCCGTTTACATTAGTGAGTCATTCTGGTGAGGAAGCAATCCAGCGGGACGGGGGGGCAAACTCTAATATTCACTTAGTCAGTGCTTTCGAATACTCAACGTTTTTTCTTGCCGTTTCTTTTTTGTAGTTTTTTTTTTCCTACATGAAACACATGAGGAAATATCATCCGCCGCACTCAGCTTCTGTAATCTACGTGGGAAAAAAAACAACAACGGACACGACGCCATGCGGATCGAGACTGACAATCGACGCCCCTCTCCAGCCCCTGAGCTCCCTCTCGCCCGAAGGGGCGTTTCGGGGCGTTCGTGGGCAGATGCTGCTGCAGCTCTCAGGCTCTCCTCCGAAAAAAAAAAAAAAAGGGAGTTTGCATCTCTCGACCTTCGCCGAGACGCCTGCCGCCTCCGCTGGCCATCCGACAGAAACGCGCAGCGACACTTTCTTCCCGTTTTTTTCTACTTTGAAGAACAATAATCCTTCTTATTGTTATACATAATTTTGGAAAAAGGAAAAAAAAAAGAAAAAAGTAAGACACTTTTGCGCTTTTCTCTCTTGGAGAACACTTCTTAGATCTCACTGAAATGTCAGAGGAAAGACTGGATGTCTAAGGTGACTTCAACAGAATGTGTGGGAAGCGAAGGAGAGCGTTCTTGGTCTGTTTTATCTTTTTTTTTTTATTCCTCTGAACACTGACACTGCAGACTGTGTGAGCAGCCGATGGACGGGGTGAAAGCAAAAAACTGAATCAGCCCAGAATAAGAGATCGGTGTTTTATTTGAGCTGAAATAAAAGCAAAAAGCAGAGAGGTGTTCGTTTTTCTTTCTGCCCCGCCATCCAACGCAGCTCAGAAACAAAACAACAAACCCCAGGATGACCTGAAGAGGGAGGACCGACTTACAAACTGGCAAACTTCCTTTTTTTATTTATTTATTTTTTATTCATTAGTCTCTTTTATTCTGTAAGTCATCCCTGTGCGTTTCCACCGACTCAGAGGAGCCTTCTTCCTGGCAGCACTGCAGGGCGAGAACTGGGGCTCAGAGCTGCTTTTTGCTTTTTTTCCCCACACATGGGACTGAAGATGCCAGCTTTGACGTTCGCATGTTGGATTTGGACAGAATTGGTCACACGGACGCCGGTGACTTCGCCTGTTTTGTATCCATTAACTGCACTTACTTCCTTTTTTTTTTATTGTTATCTGTGCTTTTTTTTTTCTACAGCTTAAAATAAGAGAAAAAATGAAACACAATGGAAAAAAAAACAAAAAAAAACTATAAAAGACTGTTAAAAATACAACACAAAAAACAGCTCTTTCTCTCTCTGTACACTTTGCATACAGAACAAGCACATGTACGCCGTCAACACACACACACACACACACACACACACACACACACACACACACACACACCCACCACACACACACACACACACACACACACACACACACACACACATTTTGCAGTTCCTACGCTCCTGGCGCCTCTCAAGATAAGACTAATAAGAAATAGAAAAATAATTATTAAGCTAATGAAGAGAGCTGGAAAACAAAACGCAGCATGGCAGGCTTTATTGCAAACTCACACACACACCCACACACGGACACACACTCTTCTTGGAATTACATGTTCTGTTCCCAAATCTTTTTTCACAGTAGGAATTTAGCAACTGTTGTTTGGTGGAAGAGTATCTTAGCTCTCGGCTGGAGGTAACAATCCCAAATCCTTTTGAAGTGAGAAATCGGCTTGTTCTCAGCTCCAACAGTCACCCACAGAAACCCTCGCTGCAGTCTGCGCCTCGTCTTCAATCGGGTCCCTTACCGCAGGACGCGGGTGGCGTCGTCGTTGGCGACGGTACGTGTTTTGTAATTGGCGGGCGAGGAAGGGGGTGGAGGGGCGGTGAAACGGTAAAACAGGTGAAGCAGATAAGATCGTAGAACCGCTAAAAAAAACAAACAAAAAAAACTTTTCAAACGTGCTGCTTTTATAAAACTTGGTTTCTTGGGAAAGTCTCCGGAGACGTCGACTGTGAGTCGGAAATCGCCGACTGAATTCCCAAATGCAGGTTCGATTCGACAGAGGAAGTCGAGCAGCTTAAACTTAGAGCCCAAACCTGACAGCGCTCCGCACCCGGAGTGCATTTGGCTAATTCTACAACATGGACTACAATGAGTGTTTAAAAAACTCAAAAACAAAGCTCTTAAAAGGGGATGTGTGTCGTTTTTAAAGCGAGCTTTTGTTACAAGATTATAAGGAGTTTCCTGCAGTATAGGGCTTCTTTTAAAGTAAATCCAGATTAGTTGGTCTCGGGGCTGGACGCTGTAAGCCAGTCCCAGAGGGAACAAGATCAAATTGAACCTCTTCTGTTTTAAAACCAATCCAATCCCCAAGGTGGTGCAACACCACTGCTTCCATTTCCTGTCAAGAAATATTAGAAATATTATTCTAAGTATTTCTAGAATAATATTTGCAGAGACTGATGTCATTTCTCAGTCCAGATTTGGTTTTGTCCACTTTGGTCACCACCTAATTTAGGTTTACACTAAATGAAAGGTTTATATTTTCAGGTAAGATATTAACTACTTACAATCTATTAACAGGACCCCTGAACTCGCTCCTTTCAGTTTTCAATGCTTGGAAAATTATGCCTTTTTTTTGTGTTTTTTTTTTGTCAATGCTCAGAATTTGGGAGAATTATTCCAAACAACTAAATTCAACTTGTCAACAAAAAAAATCTGATGTCGCTTCCTAAATCATGCAGAATCACTTGCCATCGTTGGTTGATGAATTTTTAACCAACGTTCACAGAAATACCTGGAAATTTGTCTCTTCGCCGGTATAAACTCTTCTCCGTCTGTCAGATCGCCTGCTGGGTTTTCAGAGCCGCGCTCCTTCTTTCGTGTACGAATGCGAAAGGCATTAAAAACCTACATAAAATATCAGGATCGCGCATCTCTGAATGCTGACTTTCTTTGCTCGGTGGTTGCAGGGAAAAAAAAAACAAAAAAAAAAAACAACAACACGAGCCTTGCGATCCGGGGGCTTTCGACGCCAACGCTCTCACGGCTGCTCCATCCGCCCACCAACACCCACATGCCCTGTAGCACACAGTCCAACACTCGCTGATGCAGCTGGGTGAGGGCGCAGGTTCCTGAAGCTGGTCGGGGAGGGGGGTTGGGGGAGGAATTCGACTCCCAGCATGCCCAGTCATTGTGCCAGTTGGCCTTGCCAGCATTCATTAGGCGAAACAGTGGAGAAAAAAAAAGAAAAAGAGAAAAAAGCCCCCTGAAGGGTGGAGAGCAGGTAGGCAGGGTAGAGGGTGGGGGGGTATTTATACGGTGCAGCTTTGAACAATCGATACCAAAAACCTCCAGCGTGGAACTGCCCTTCAGCTACGGGCAGAGTCTCTCCGGTCAGAGGAGACCAGCGGCGCGCCGCCTCCGTACGAGTCCTGTGTATCTAACGGCAGCTTTCTCTACTAACTCCTCCTGTCTATGTAATGCAGTCAGGGTATAAAGTAAGTGCACCCTTTTTCAGTTCTTCAGACTATGTGGTTCAAAACCGAAGGGAACGACCTCATAAAACCACACTGCACGGTGTCGGATCCTTGACACGCTGTAAAAACACAAAAACCCACCAAGTTCCTTTGGTCTCGTTCCTGTAGTGAATCTAAAAACACATGAAATAGAACAAAACTAACTTGCAAGCAACTTTTCAGCAAGATGTAGCAGCTTGTTTCATCCTTAATGTTGATGGAAAACAAAGATTAGTGGAAGGGTGAAATAATCTGCCATGGGAACGAGTATTTCGTCACCAATATTTAGAAATTACTAATCTTAAGCAAGCTCTTATGTCTTTTACATCTTGCTGGACAGTTATTTGTAAGTTCATTTTGTCTTATTTCAAGTGTTCTAGGATATTTTCACTGGAAATATGAACAAAAATACTTGGCACGATCTTGTGTGTTTGCATTGGAAAAATGCAAAAACAAAAGTGTTGTGCATTACCAAATCCATTGAATTCGAAAGTAACCAAACGGGGCCCAAGCCAAGAACTGAAATATAATCGTCACATAAAATCCCCTTTAATAAAAAACAAAGCGAAACTGTAACGTGTTCGAGCAGATTGGATCGGAAAGAGGGTGCAAATATTTTATCATGGCCGCCTGAAAAAGCAGCTCCTGTTTTTGATTACAAAACAAAATCTATGTTGATGTGTCCTTTCTTTTTCGTTTTGCATAGAGATGCGAATGGAAACTATCCCATATGGGGGAATACAATCACGATGAATGGGGATTGTTGCACTTTTGTGACTTTTGATGGCTTGAATGTTGTGTGTTTTTGTTTTGCTTCATCCCTGTTATGCATACTGTGAGCACATCGGCCATTTATCAACTGCTTTCCTACTGTGCCTCCATGTTGGGGGAGACAATATGATGCAGTCGGCACTGAATTATTATTATTATTTTTAATTCCTAAAAGAAATGTTTCATAGGGTTTTTGCTTTGGCTTTTAATTCATTCACTCATCAATATATCCCACCATGCTTACTGAATCAGAGGAATAATAGAAAAATCCAAGGACACGTCATGCACCACTTGAAATGCGGCAAAATCCCATTTTTGATTTAGCCAAAATCAATTTCACATTTCGTTATCTTTCAGGTTACACCGCCGTTTTTTCCTGATGCTCCAGTTAAAGCCCCAACTCTGTCAAACCGTAAGCAAATAAACTCTCTCCCTGAAACAAATTTCTCCCCCCTCCAACATTTGACAGATTTTAGAGTCACTTCAGATGCAGCTTCGCATTTGGTCCCCCTTCCTGTCTCTCAGCCTGTCAGAGCGGGTTTCCTGTCACTGTGCAGCTCCGGGTCCCCTGTCGTCTCGGGGGCTCATCCGGGCCGGCTAGCTGCCACCGCGCGCTGCTCTGATTAGCATTGCGACTCCCAGCTCTTCTTGCGGCTGAGCTAATGAGATAGCTCTGGGTCACAGGGAAACGGAGTAGTACGAGTAGAATGATAATAATAATAATAATAAAAAAACAAAGAAAATATGAGGGGGGATCCTGAGCCACTCGGATGCCAGCTGTTCACAGCCAGTGGATAGATCTGATCTGGAACCGTTGCACAGAGAACCAGAACATAGTAGTGAGACTTGTTAAAAAAAAAAATCCCAAAAAGATCTAAGCTTAAATGGAAAAAGAAAAACTGGTTTTGCATATTAATCTTAACACCACTTAATAATCTGCCTTATCTTGCTGATAACGTTTCCATAAATGACTTTTTCTCTGCAAATTCCCACCAGTAGTGGATCCTCGCGCCCCACTGCCAAACCCTCCACCTGCTTCAACAATTAAAGTGCCATTCTGGTTTGTTTCCATCCGTCCCTCCATCCTCGCCGCACCTCTCCCTTCCCGTACGCAGCAGTCGTCCTCTGCGCTGTCAGCTGCAGGAATGCTGAATGCACACTTTACACGTTTTGCCCAAAGATTTGCATATTTGCAAGTGAACTGCTGTGAATGTAGTAGATGTAGTGGATAGATCCACGAGGCAGGGATGCAGAAAACGAGAGACAGGTGGAAGGAAAGGGATTGTTTTGTTTTTGTTTTCTTACGCGACCATCCCGGTAGATCTTAATTACCGACTCTCCATGCTCCGCAACATTCCCGGTCTGCTGGAACCCGGAGCCGAACTCATTGCTCATGAATGTAAAATAAGGTGTTTGTGGCGTTACGGAGGCGCCAGCGGCTTCAGCGGGAGGGAGGTGTCTGTAGTTCCACATAACCGCTTAGGACGCCGCAGGCTGCTTGGTCAAGTCATTCCAAATTAAACGTGGGCTTTGAGTCGAAAGTGTCGGCCTCCATGTTGTATAATCATCACAGGTCAAAGGTTACTATTCTCATGGGTCGATAAAGGTCAAGGGAAGTTGACATTTACTCAGAAGTTAATCTGATTCCGGGATCATCCCACTCAAACACTTGGTAATGCGATTATTTCAGAGCTAACAATATTTGAAGACAGGTATGTTTTGATTATTTCCGTTTGGCTGCAAATGAACTTTATTAATCTGAATTTTAAAAGAATATCCTTATTCACACTTTGCAGGGCACACCTTTTGGGAAATTGACCTAACATCTAACGTGGTGTTTGGGCATTCTTGAAGCAGTTCTGTTGTACTTCTCAACTCATTTCTACACATGCAGAAGACAAAACCTTCTCATCATGTTTCACATTTGCTACCTTTTTGTTTCGTTTGAGAATCACTAAGCGACGTTTTTAGATCATGTTTCATTACATGCTGTGCTTTTAGGATTAAAACGCCCAAACCAGCACATGTAACTTGAGCCTACCCACTTATACATGATGGAAAGTAACCAATTGAGAGTAAGTCTTTGAGGATT